GTTCATGAATGCAACACAGAAACAAGCCGCTGGATTCGTCTCTATTCAGGTGAGCGCAGAGGTTTCTACTGCACATGCTCAGTCTGATAAGTGAAGCTGTTTTTGATTGGGTCATTTTGGCAACACCCTAAACTGAAGCAGTGAAAACAAGAAAAAAAAGAGAAGAAAAAGCCATTTATCTGATCCTGGGAACGTGTGTGTCGAGGGTGTGCGAGTGTGTGTTTACAGATGTGTGTCAGAGGTTAATGCGGTTTACGTGCTCTAGCTTTGCAGCAGCTTAGTGCGACTTGCTTTTCAAAATGGAGTAATAACAAAACTGATGTGTGTTTGCTTGTTATGACGACCTTTGACAGCAACGGTTTTTCAGCTTTTCAGAAACACTCCTACACTGTTAGATGTTCCTCACATTAATCACGCTTTTAACACCACCTAACAGCAGCTGGTTAGTTTTCAAAGAGCATGATTCACTTCCCTTTGTTCTCTGGGTCAAAAGGTCTCCGAGCACATAAAAGGTCTGTCACATTTTTACGTAAACACAGAAATAAATGAAAATATCCAGAAACAAAAGAAGTCCTGATCTCTGTTTCCAGGTAATCAATGAAATAAGTCTGAGCCCTTCCACTGACGCAGCGCTCAGATAACACCCGTGCTCTGCGTTTAAAGCAGAACTAGGAGAAAGTGTCACAAGTCTGACTGTTATTCAGAGAAAAGAGGAACTTTTCTTGTTGGACTGAAAGTTAGTGAAAGTGTGGTGCACAAAGTTCTCAAACCCTGGATCCAAAGCAGAGCTGTAACACAACTAAAAGCTTCGGAGAACTGCAGAAAAACCAAAGCGTGCTGGCTCATTTGGGCTTTCCTGCACACCTGAACTCTAAAAACACTCCTGACATCACAAGAAGCTCCTTGGAGCCAGATACTGTATATAAGGGGGGGCATAGCCACTGTGACACCACCCATTGGTTCTGGATTCTGCATTTGAACTGCAAGCACAGATGTTTTTGCTGCACAGCCGGCCAAAAGATGATGCCATTAAAAATGCTTCAAAAGGCTCCAGCAGCACAAACACAGCGGAGAAGCCAGGAGGTGGAGATGGATCATATCAGGTGCCAGCTTCCTGTTTTTAGCACATCAGACACACTTTACCTCTAAATCACAGCACAGTCCAAATGAGTCAGCTGTAGAATATCGCCTGCGGTTTTCTGCGCTTGCAGAAATCGTTTTATTTTGTTGTCAGATCGTGCAAGGACAACATGATTAGAGCTGGTACTGTTCGTGCAGCTCTAATACTGCTGACATTAAAGGAAAAAGGGGGTGGAGCAAACAGCGGGAT